TTTCAGATTTCAAACAGGGAGAAAGAGGAGTGGGGAAGTAGCAGCACGAAGCAGAACAGAGCAACTCTGCTGAATCATGGGAAATGCATGACTTCAGGGTGGCCATCTGAACCCAACCAAGGATCACGTGGAAGCCTCACTATAAAATATTTGTCACTTTGGCATCATACTTCAGCAAGTTTTCCCAGCACACTTAAGCATGTGAGAAGCTGCTCTTCGTGATCCTGGCCTACTCTATTTGTATCATCCACTGTTTAGTCATCCTGCAAGCAGGTACCACTTATAACTGATTCATTCATGTCCCTAGATTTTTTTACATAATAACAGGCTCCTCAGCTGATCATGGAGTCTGAAAGTCTGCATTGCTGTGAGATCATCAAAGGGCAAGTGAGGAAGGTATACCTCGTCTTCAAGAAAGATCTGAGCTGAAGAATTCAGCAAGTAAAGGTGTCTGTGAAGGGCAGGCCCCAATATTTCACAGCTTGAACTGGAGCAGCATATGTCACCATGTCAAGTTATTTTGGTATATCAGGCAGAAAATCCCACATGCACTTCTCCATATTCTTAGCAGTCACAATAAAAACCAATTAAATAGCAATTGTTGCCAGTTTGCGAAACTCAAAATCTGCTGCCTGCAGTTGCTGCTTTGCTTTGCTTAATGGCAGCAGTGCCCTGTTGTTTCTATGGCAGGGGATAAAATACAGCATAGTAGCCAGAATCTTATTGGGAATGTACACCAACATATGTGCAATTGCATCAACTGCAGGGGCAAATTGCTGCTAATTAACAAGCTGCCATTCACAATCCTAGTCACAGACCAAATCATAGAACTCATTGTGACCTGAAATGTGAGCAGCAACTTCCTAATTAGTAGCAATTTGCCACTGCAGTTTATACCCCATTACACGTACAGCAGTAAGTTCCCAATAGGATTCTGAGTGATCTATGTTCAAAACTGCCTGCACATACCTGCCCTAATATGACCCCTAGCTCTGCATCCTTTCATTTCCATCTCTTTAGTGGATGATCTTGGGAACAGAGTGTCACACACTAGCTGAAAAATTCCTCCAGCAACAACATACTGTAGCTGAAACCACTGAATCAAACAACCAAAGAGCCCAGAAAGCAGACACTAAGGGATAGAATCACAGAAGGCTGGATGCTTGGTTCCAGGTTCAGGAGATGAGGAAGGACCCAGAAGAGCAGGTCAAGGTAGAGGCTATCGGATGAAGTGCCCATCTACAAGAGAATACTCTTCAGAAAATGGACCAAGCTCAAGTGTGAGATCTCTTCAGAGGAGGGTTCTTCTCCTCTCTAGAGCACAGCTAGAGGATTACTTTTGGAAGGAGTTATATTCTGCAGTCATAAGCTGCATGATTAGGCATCCTTCAGTCTCAAGAGAGCAGGTCAAGGTAGAGGCTATCGGATGAAGTGCCCATCTACAAGAGAATACTCTTCAGAAAATGGACCAAGCTCAAGTGTGAGATCTCTTCAGAGGAGGGTTCTTCTCCTCTCTAGAGCACAGCTAGAGGATTACTTTTGGAAGGAGTTATATTCTGCAGTCATAAGCTGCATGATTAGGCATCCTTCAGTCTCAAGAGACTATCTATCTATCTATTCTATCTAGTTTGTTTATACCCTGTTCATCTGGCCTAAAAGACCACTCTAGGCGACTATGATAATGTGCTCTGTATGGAGGACGTGGAACAGCATCTAGTATGGCTAAGAAGGCCAATTTGAGAGTAACAGTACCTTCCACACTGAAGACAAATACAGTCTGTCCCCTGTCCAGCACCCTGGTTTTGCTGGTTTCGGGTCTGCCTCTTTGCCTTGGCCTGCTGGACAAGGGTCTCTTCAAATTGGGAGAGGCCAGCCTGCACTGCCTGCCTCCAGGCTGAACGCTCAGATGTCAAGGTTTCCCATCCGTTGAGGTCCTATCCTAAGGCTTTCAGATCCCACTTGCAGATATCCTTGTATTGCAGCTGTGGTCTACCTCTGGGGTGATTTCCCTGCACTAATTCTCCATATAGGAGATCTTTTGGAATCCGAACATCAGCAATTCTCACAACATGCCCAAGCCAACGTAGACATCGCTGTTGTATTAATGTGTACATGCTAAAAATTCAAGCTCATTCTAGGAGTACCTTAGGAACTTTGTCCTGCCAGATGATACCAAAAATGTGTGGGAGACAACGCATATGGAACACATTCAGCTTCCTCTCCTGCCATGCACAGAGGGTCCAGGACTCACTACAATACAAAACTTCTTATCTTTGGTTACACATTCAATTCTTCATTTTTTAATTGATTTATTCACTTTAACCATCTTAATAACAATATCAGTTCTCTCTAGTTCTCTATCTATCTCTTTTGGCTATTCAATTTCTCTCCTCCATACTCTCAATTCTCTCTTCCACTTTTCTCTCCCTAAGTCTCTCCCCCTGCCTCTAACTACCTAACTGACCTCTCATAGGCTCCTGCACCCCTCCTGTCCTCTCATAGGCTCCTGCACTTGAGCTTCAGCTATGATTGACAGGAGTGACATGGGCATTCCATCACAATGCTATCAGCTTCTTCTTAAGCCACACTCTCTTTGTGAGTCTAGATAACATGGTATCTGCTTTGCCAATGCGTTTATCCAGCTCGAC